TTACTCATAAAAATTATATAAAAAATAATATAAAAAAATTATCCCTATATTATCATTCAATAAAAAAAACCGAAAGATGTGAATAATCCCATAAAAAGAATTTATGAAGGGTGTTTGAATAATTTTATTAAAATTTTAACATTTAAAGTATTCAAATATTTTGATATTTAATTTTTTTACTATTAATTTTTTTTTCGCATGTGCATTGCGTGGCCTTCAAATTTTTATATTAGATCTTGTATTTTATATTATTTTAAATTAATTTTTAAATTTTATAATGATTATTTGGTTAAAAGATTTTAATTAAGTAATTAAAACTGAACTTAAAATTGTTTTTGTGCTTGATAATGGTATATTTTCAAAAACAAAAAATGTACAGAACTATATTTAAAAATTATATATATTAAGAGAATTCAAAAAATATTAAATATTAATTTTTATCTCAAATTTAAAAGCATCTATTTTTTTCTACTATTATCTCAATTAATAATTTATATGATATTTTCATTTTTTAATTACAGAGGTAAAGTTAAATAAGAATATAATTAAATTTCTTCAAAAATTGCATTTCCATTGCTTTAAAAGATTAATTAAATAACAAATAAAACTAAATAATACTTTTATTGATTTATTTCTAGTTATTTTACACCATATGCTGTATAGGATTTGATTTTTTTTTAATTTTATATCTATATTTTGTGATTTCTTTTATATACTTTTATAATAAAATTATTAAATGCAAATTGTATTTGTTAATTAGATTGAAGGACAAAAGTACTGGAATTTTATGTATTACGTATTAGAAAATATATTTTTAAATCTATATTCTGCCAAAATATATTTTTTCACTTTAAGGTAATTTTATATTTTTACAATTTAAACTACACTTTTTGTATAATCCAAATAAAAAATTGAACTTTCATATACCGTAAATTTGAATTTTAAAACTCTTTAAATTAATCAAAATTTGAGACTATTTCAATTTTATAACATTAAATCTCATCATTTTTATTTTATCTTTGTTCTTTTTTCTAATTTTTTAGTAGTTCATCTTAAGTCATAAAATATATTTAGCTGTAATAATCTTTATTATTTGATTGGGATTTGAAATCTTATTTATTTATTTAATTTTGAGCTATACAATAAATTTAACTTTTTATCATCTATTTACTTAATTAGATTAGGTTGCTTAAGTCATTGATTTTAAAATATAATTTGGATTATTGGTATTAGTTTTTTTTAGTCCTTTTTTTTTTTTTTTGCTTATAAATGAATTATATGTTTTTAAGCTTTTTCACGTGTTTGTGCAATTGACAGCTGATGTTGTAATAAAACATGTTATGTGCATTATATTTCCTTTCGAGCTTTCCTACAAATTATGATATAATAGTTACAACTGAAATTACATTTTTTATTAAAATATTTTGTACCTTCAAACAATTTATTTTTTATATTCGCTTACACTTTTATCTTTGAGTTTGATAATAATAATATTAAATAACAATAATAACACTTTCATCTTTTATATTCTAATTCATTTGAATTTTTTACATATTATTTTATACATTAATAATTTAATATAGAGATTATCATATTCAAATTGTTAGTAAATTGTTTTAGTTTTTTTCTTTATCATTATTTTTAAAATTAATTTTGAAATAATATAATAATTCTTTAAATGTTACATTATTAATTAAGTGCCTCTTGATCTTTCATTATCAATTATAACATAATAATTTTTATTAAAGTTACATTTTTATTATTTAAATGAATTATAATTGAATTTGTGTATATTCATGACATTTTGCTTTATATGCTCGCTTACATCTATCTTTTTTTAATTTATCAACATAAGATTTTTTATATAAAAGAAAATTGAACAGAAAAGTTCATAACTTTGAAAATAGTAAAAATAAACTTAGATAATTTAGGGGTCTTTAATATTACAAACATAATTCCTATGTATTGTAAGTTTATAATTTGTTCTCATTCTTCATAAATACTGGGTTTTTATTCCTTTTCTTTAAGTTCAATCCATTCAATGCAACTAAAAATAATAATAACAATAAAATAATTAAGAATAAGATAAGAAATTAAAGAAAACTAAATGATTGAAATAACTTATATACATCATATTTATTGGTTTTTTTATGTAAAAGTAATATATATTTTATTTTTTACAAATTTATTTTTTATAATTGTTATGCTTTCCACTATGCATATTTTGAATTAAGAAGAAAAAATAAAATCGTAATATTATATTTAGTTACAATATAAATCAGGGAATAACAAAAAGGAAAATATTTGAAACTCATTGTATTAACCAAAAGAAATTGTTGAGACAAAGAAGAAAATAAAATATCAAAGAAAAGTAAGTCAGGGTTTATATATAGATAACTAGAAAGATAAAAATATATGGAGAAAAACCGTGAAAAAAATGATGTCATCTAAAAGCTTAAAAAGTGAGAGGTAACCATTGAGTTTATAAATTAATTTAGGCATAAGATAAAATGAAACCCTTATTTATACATTAATATAAAATTCACCTAATGCATTTTTTTTTATTTTCAAGTAATTTACCATGTAATTCATAAATGGTTGTTTATATTACTCCCTTTGAATTACTCTTTTAATTCTAAAATAAATATTGTTTTCTTTTACTTTGAATTTTAGTCTCAAAATAACTATTATTTTCTATTTTAAATTTATCATAAATTAATTTTTAATTATTTATTTTTTAAAATAAATAAATATTTTTTTACTTTAATCTTATTGTTATTTATTTATTTTGATTAATTATCCTGTCTTGTTACAAAAATTTTTATTTTATTTTTTAATTTTCTCCTAAAATAATATAGACATATATAATCTTAGAGATAGTATTTAAGGTATAATAAATATATTTTCATACAAAACATGCTGTGAAACCATGTAGTATAACAGACAAAGCACTGGATCTTGAGTGCCACGAGTAACTGGCAAAGCACTTAATCTTTAGTGCCATGAGTGCCAGTGTTCAATAACCCACTAATGTCTTACCTCCTTTTCTTCCTTAAAAAATAAACAAGAAAACATTCATAAACATTCTATTTATATTTAAAATAAAATAATTTCTTTTCTTCCCTAAAAAATGAACAATAAAATGTTCATTAACATTTTCTTTATATTTAAAATAAAATAAAATGCTCAATTGAATCATCTATAACCCCGCATAGCGGCGCGCGATAACCAGTTCCCGTAAATGATGGTAATTGGATTGTTGGTTGATTGCCATTCCTAGTGCATTATGAGTACGATGTAATTTTGAAATGTTTTAATTTTTTAATAATATTTTATTAAAATAATATAATTTTTAAATATTATTTTATTTAATATTTTATGATTCAAATTGAAATTTAATTATATATATATATTATTAATAGTCACTGCTAGCTTAGATAGAACTTCCTGATAGAGCAACTGATTGCTCCTTATATGATGTTTTTCATCCTACTCGAATTCGAGCCCTTTCTACTCACCTATCCCTCACAATATAACTTCGTTCCAAAAAAAAAAAAATCATTGCTAGCTTAGGTCAAATTTAATTATATGAATTTAGCTTTTATATAAAATTTAATAAGAAGATTTTATATAATAAATAAATAATCATTAATTTTTTTAAACATAGTTTTTATTAAGTATTTTAATTATTATCTATATAATATATAAAATTATTTTATTAAATTTTATATAAAACTTAAATTAAGACAATTAAATTCAACTGAAGGGAGTAAAATGCTATATAGTATTAACTCAATGTTTTATGTTTTTTTATCTTGATTTTCTAATTTTTTGGTTGTTAAGGGCAAAAATAGCCATTGTACTAATGTTTTATAACTCAATAATCAACCTCTTTTCATCACCAAACCCAGTTTAACCAATTTTACAGATTTAACTGAGTGATTCAATCGATCAACTAAAAAATTTGACTTTTTCTTCAATTTTTGAACATTTCACCGCTATATACTAATGTTACTATATTTGTAAAACATAATCACTTTAAAAATAGGTTAAAGTAGAGTTAAGGACTCTAATTTACACCAAGTTTACAATTAAGATCTTGAAGTTTAATTGTGCTCAATTAAAATTTTAAAGTTGTTGAAATTCTTAAACAAGGTCCTAATTTGATGAAAACCATTAGATTGTTAAATAAGTAGTTAATACCGTTAAACTTAACTGGTTAAATAATAAAAATAATTGATAGACTTTTAATTTTAGTTTTTAATAACCTTAAAATTTTTAAGAATCTCAAAAACTCTTAAACTCTTTTTTTTCTATAAGGAAACTTTTATGGGAACCATGACTAAAAGTTAATATCGTTTGTATGTGGACCTCAATTTTTTTTAATGAACAGATTTGCTATGCAAATATATAAGACCAACATTAAAAAATTTGTTATGACAAAAAAAAAAAAAAAACTCAAAAAAATTATTTATGGTTAATTAATATCTTGATGAAATAATTTAAAGGATAATTAGTAATTATTTCATTTAATTAAAATTAATTTTTAATTGTGGGTCTCATAAAAATTTTCTTGTAAAAAAGTTAATTTAGAGAGCTTTTTGAAAATTTTGAAAGTTTTAAGGTTTGAGAGCTAAAATTAAAAGTCTAGGGTTATTTTTGCTTGGAAGGCTACAACCAGTGCTTATTGTTTGATATCTCTTCTTTTCGTTTTTTATGTATGGTTTTCACAATGAAGTATGGTATTAGTAAGTGCTTGACACCAGTTATTTTAATGACTTGTTAAACCAATGCAGTGGTTCCACTTCCACTATTTTTTTGAGGAATTTGTCTAAATTCCCCAAGAAACGATAGCATACCATTAAGTCCACCAAGTTGCTATAGAGTGCTAATCTGATTAAGTCCATTTCTAGTCAAGCTCATCATTTTCAATCAAACAAGCAATATCAAAAAATATAAATAGATTTCAATTCATTATTATGCTTAAAAAACGCTACAACAATATTGACAATGTATGTCAAGTTTGAAAAAAAAAAATTATACATAGGAATGACCTCTTTCGATGATGCAACTAAAGTTAATTGCAAACAATGAGCTAAGTAGTGAATGTAGTAAGATAAAGGCATTCTTTGCTAATCAAAGTTAGAAGTTCATTAAACTCACCTCTCATGTTACTTACACCGTCATATCCTTGACCATGAATATTTTGAATGTCAAGATCATAATGAGAAAGTAAAGAAACAATAGCATCTTTCAAAGTTTTACTTTTAACTGATGTATCTACCACATGAACAACACCAAAGAAGTGCTCTTTCAAAAATCCTTTCTTATCAACAAATCTTAGAACCAAGGCCATTTGTTCCCTCTTTGACTCATCTCTTGCTTCATCAACAATAATACAAAACTTAGCATCACTTATTTCTTGGCCAATACTTTCTCTCACTTTATCCAGCAAAACTTGTAAAATCTCCTTTTTTTTAGTTTCCAATGAAGTATATAAAGCATTTTAAGGAGCATTCTCCATGACAAGTTTTAACATTCTTATTATAAAATGACAATAACTTCAACTCTTTGATAAAATTCCTATGAATGCTCGAATTGCTACTTTCATCATGACCTCTAATAGTACAATCTTGAGTTGCAAGCTATTTCACTAAATAAAAACATATATTATTCTGCAACAAAGAGAGTATACTAATTTTTATTATTAGAACATATCTACTAACAAGTATAAAACAACATTTTAAAATAAAATAAAAGAAACTTACAAAACTTGAAAGTTGAAACCCAATATATGATTTATATAAAAAAAGATAGTGTTGTTTTTACCTTCTTTATAGTTAGTGGTCCCTTTGCCTTCAGGCTTTCAATGACAAGAGAGCAGTGTTGTAGTGGCATTGACGGAGTCTCTTTTTTTCTTTTTTCTTTTTTCTATTTTTTAAGTTGTTGGGTACTTGAGGTTGAGGGAGATTGGGATTAGAACTAGAAACTAGAGAGACAGAGTAGAACACATGAGAATATGTTTTTTTTTTTTCGTCTTTTTTTTCGTCTTTTTTTTTTCCCCTTTTTCTACAGAGTTTTGTAGACTATTGTAGGCCTTGAGATGAGTTATTTAAATAAATTAAATTAATTAAATAATAATAAACAATTAAATTGTTAAAATGGATGATATAGATTATATTTGGTCTCTTAAAATAACCCACTATTATTGGATCTTTTCTTATTTTATGTATTTTAACAATGAAAAATACAATATTTAAAATTTTAATAGTAATAATTAATAAATTAATTATATGTATTTTTTTTTTCAAATCCTGAGGGCCCCCCCTCTCTAGTCTACAAGTTGCTCAGCCTGTGGTTATCTCTAGTGGAATAGATTCATCACCTCCATGAG